GCAAACTGAATCATAACATGCTTTTTTGATCGATTTTTACAGTGTCAGGCACAAATGAAAAGGAATAGTATTTTTCCTGAAGCAAAAAAGAAAATTTTAAGTTCAATTACATTCTCATCCACATACCTGAAATATGCGGCAAAGCAATAGCCAAAAGTTTTACTGTCACCGATCCATGAAATAATGAAGCCCCTCTGTAGAAGTTGAAAGACATCTTCATTCAAGCTCTTGTTCATGAAGCTATCAGTTGGAATCATAGCTGAAAAACCACAGGACGGCTTGAGCTCCTTCACCTCATAGCCAGATACAACATACACAAATGAGGAGTTCTTGTGGAGACAAGGAACTGGCCTATAATTAGTATCATCTTGTATACCATCAACACAGTTTACAAAAGAAGCCCAGTGGGGCGATATTAATTCGTATCTTTTGCTATTTTTGATTGTCCTAGGTGTAATAGACCCAAGAGGAAAGCGGCATACACCACTTGTCAATCCAACGTCAACAACCTGTAGCTCATTGGGATTATAGGATATACTAGCAACATAATACTTGCCAAATGAGAGATTGAGGATTGTATGATTTTGATCACAAATGAGCTCATACTCAGGATCGCCACAGTAACTTGCATCGCCTTTTAAACGAAATGGTGGATGGATGTTTTTCAGTTGTCCACAGGAAGAAGAGCAGACTTCTTTGAAAGGGTAGAGAGCTAATCCAGTACTAGAGAAGAGAAGAAATGTGAGTATGGAACAAAGAACAAATTTCATTATTTCTGAGCAAAGGAGTGATATTCCTAATTCAGCATCTAATGGTTTATCTTGGATCTTGATTATTGGAGTATAAGTGTCAACTTTTTTGCCAAGGTATGCATTTAGAAGTCTTTTCCTGATTTAATTACTACACATAACAGAGTTTTGTCATAATGGCAGCCCTTTTTAATTCTCTTCCTTTGACTAACAATATAGAAGCTAATTCAGTCTCTATATCATTCAGTCATAACGCACAGTTTATTAACTATTTAAGGGTGTTTGGTTCTTTCCTTCTCATTGAGGTGTATACTGCATCCATCACAAATCTTTGACCTGAATATTTTATTGAGAATTTGAGAGGTAACCTCTCCACTCTTTGAATTAGTTCAAGGTCTACTCTTCTATTTTATATGTTTCTGTCAACCATATCCTCTCTAAAAGTTGGTATTGCTAATTACCAAGAAAGAACCTGGAAATGTAATTATTGTTGTCTTCTGATTCTTCTTTTCCTCAACATCCTTGAGTTCACACTTACAAGAAAGCTAGTATATTGTCCAATTTGTTTGCCATGGGACAGAAACAAGTGCAAGTTTGCGCAAATTTCAACTTAAGTTTTGAAGAATTTACCCAGGGAGCAGTAAGGGACTCCATTTCAAAGCAAACCTGTTAAACTTAAAAGGATTCATTTTCCGGCAAAATAATCTGTCCAAAACTCAATTATATGCATGATGTATGTCTTTTTTTTTTCTTTTTTTTTCTGGATAACAAGCAGTGAGCTGAAAGGTCTACAATCCTAGAGTTTTACATAACTACAGGAAAATAAAATAGTACAAACTAACAAACTAAAGCAAGATGTAAAGAGAACTTAACATGGAGACCAACTGATTCATATGAATAACTGTGTAGATAACTGATATTTTCTAAAGAACCAGCCATGTAGCAATCATAACTAGGAAAGGATTTCAATGCTTCACTATACTAAATTACAGGAGTTCCTTTTTTCTTTGTATCTTCAGGCTTAGACTGTCATTATCTCATTTACAGTGATTGGACAGTTTCAGATCAATCTAAATTTCATATACACATCAATGCGAAAAATTGTAAATTGATATTGGTTTTCTCAATCAAAATTAGCATGCGGATAATATTCTTTTTCCTTGATTAAGTATCATATACGGTAAAAATATATTGTTTGAACGAGTCTTTATGCATTATTTTTCGACTCAAAACCTTATGGTTAGAATTTATATCTATAGCGTACATAGTTTCAAGACCGGAACTCTTATTCAACTAAAACACCATGACAACCCTCTTCATTTCCCTCCTGTTCCTCTCTCTCCTCCCCACCAAACCCTTTGCATCTGCACAATCGAAACTCGACCCATTAACCCGCTTCTTCCAATCCTGTCCTCCCTCCATTTGTGGATCCGGGCCCTCTGCCCTCCTCATCCGCTTCCCTCTCACATGCACCACCATCCCCCTCACGTGCGCCTCCAACTCCGCCGCCCTCCTCCGCCTCAGCCCCACCCTCCCCCCGCTCAAAGTCACTTCCGTAGACTACAAGAACTCAGTCCTAACCGTGCTTATCGGGTCCGAGTTTGGCTCCTTATCCTCCCCCTGCCCGCTCCGCAACCTCACTTCTCTATCCCTCCTCAAAACCCCAACCTTTACGCCGTACAATCCCTTGGGAATCAGTTTAGTGAGCTGCTCGAAGAGGCTTAGACGTGGATCCGATTCGAGTATGATTGTGGGCCCAGTTCCGTGCCTTAGCGGGTCCGAATCGGGTCCATTTGTGTATGTGGCGTGTTCGGGTGAGTCGATGGAGGTGGTTTCTGAAGGGTGTATGGTGGTGGAGACAGGAGGTGAGATCCCTTACCTTGGAAGCGAGTTTAGTTTTGGGGAGACCGTGAAGAGGTTTGAAGACAAGAGGGAAGTGAGCTTGAGGTGGGATTTAGGCAGCGTTTCCAAAATATGTGCCGACTGTGAGGTGGGAGGAGGGAAATGTTGGTTTGATTTGGAGAGGAACCAGAGCTTGTGTGAAACATCCGGCCATCACGGTAAAATATTTTATTTTATTTTAATTAGATTTGTCATCACATTCGAAATATTGTAACAAAAGGGAAAATTTACATTACGACCATATGATTGGTCATTCCATATTTACATCAATTGAAATAGTTGATGTGTATCTCACCTGTTTCTATTGAAAAGTTTATTAACCAATAGAAATCTTCCGCAAAGGTTATTCTCGTTAACAAAATAAGATGCATTTCGTGCCATTTTTTACCCATAGGATCATAATTTTCTCGTTCATAACTAAGACACTGGCTTAATCTTCTAACTCATGATACTATTTTTTGTACCCCCGGTCATGTTTCTCTGGTCATAATCTTTTTGTTATGTCATAACTTACTGGACGAAAGGCCATTTTCGCATATAAACTTTTGTGCATCATTGGATGATATTCTTTCTGTAAGTCAGACAAAATTTTCTCCAGTATACATGAAAATACTTAACGGTTGAATATACCACTAATTTCTTTCTTCTACTCATTGCAGGTGCACGAGTGAAGCTCATTACAGGTGAGTTAGCAAGCATTTAACAAGTCCGATCAGAAAAGCTCCGCCATATAAATATACATACAAAGAAGATTTTACTACAGTGAAGATATCCTATCTATTTGTTGATTTTCCGTTTCATTTTTATACATTCAAAGCAAACTATAATTTATCTTTCGCTGTTATGAAACTTGGGGTAAAATGCAGAATTAACCAAACACCCACCTCAACCACCCCGCCCACCCCCAACACCCCCTCAAAAAAAAAAAACAAAAAAAAGGCAAAAACAAAATTTATGCCTTCAGATGCAGTAAATTCCCCATTGTTAATAAACTTTGGTGTATTGCAGTAACCAACAACCGTCCCCCCCCTCACCTCCCACCAATCCCCACCCCAAGAAAAAAAGAAAATAAATAAATAAATTACACACACCCGTCGACCCACCCACCCACATTGAGTAGCACTAAATTCCCCTCAGTTCATTTATTACCACTTAGCCCCACGAAATTTATGTGGCTGAGGGGTGTAGTTGCATCTAGAAGCATTGCAGGGGTGCTAAGTGATAGCAAATGAGTTGAGGGGGGTTAAGTGCGACTAAGGGTGTATATGTTGGGAATTTACGTCAAAACCCCTAAGACAGTAGAAACGCAGTATAGAGAAAATACACCAAGATTTAACAAGGTTCGGTAACTGCCTACGTCCTCGGGAGCCACACAATTAATTTCTTATTAACCAACAAGAAATTACAAAGCAAGAGCAGATCTCAAACTTGAGATCTCTCAATAAATAATGATTAATATTATAGCTACAGTATTAATCTCTCTTTCTCTCTCTCTCAGATACCCCTATTTAAATATTTCTTAAATAGAGAATATTCCCCCACAATAAATTCCCTTCAACAATCTGAGAGCTGGGAAAAATCACGAGAGGAGAAGAAGAAGAGAAAACCATCTGTTGCTTTTTTTTTAGTCCGCCGCGGAGAATTCGGGGGAGAGAGGGGGCGAGGCGACACCGATAGGGGCTAGGGTTTCGGGTTCCTTTTATAACGGGAACTTAATGAAGGCTGTTCGCCAGCAAGCGCGCGCTCATCTCGCCTGCCGGGCGTCTCGGCCTGTGCCAAGCCAAGCGCGCGCTCGAAATCTCGCCTGCGGGCGTCTCGCCCTCCGCATGTTAAGCTCGACCTGTCTCGAGTTCCCTCCACGACCTCGCCTGCTTACGGGTCGCCTGCAATGAATCGCTGGACCCCGAGCTCGTCGGTTCCACTCGTTCGAACTCGCCTGCAAAGGGGTCGCCCACTCTCGCGCCCGCCAGGATCTCCGTCTGGACCTCATCGCCCACGAGCTCGCCTGAAGCGACTGATCTCGAGCTCGCCTTGAGCTCGTCTCTGATCCGCCTCAAGCTTGTCAGCGTCATCCCCCAAAGCTCGCCTGCGGAAGTGAGTTTGGTCTACACCCGATTCTAACAATCTCCCACTTGGAGACTAAACCGTCGTCAGCAGGCTATCTCAACAAACATCATCTCCTATGTGGCTCCGTCCTCATCATCTATGCATGAAGGCCAACTGAAGTTGCGCATAACTTCAGTTTCTGAACGATCACTACCTTTATTAACATATCTGCTGGATTCTTACTTCCTGGAATCTTCTCCAGTTTTAATACGTCATCTTCTAGCAGGAATCTGATGAAGTGGTACCGAAGCCCAATATGCTTCGTTCTAGAATGAAATACGGAATTCTTAGCCAAGTGAATTGTACTCTGACTATCGCTGTGCAAGACATTCCTCTCATGTTTGAATCCCAGCTCAGTTAACAAACCCTGAAGCCGTATCATCTCTTTACTGGCTTCAGTCACTACTACATACTCAGTCAACAAACCCTGAAGCCGTATCATCTCTTTACTGGCTTCAGTCACTACTACATACTCAGTCTCTGTAGTGGATAGAGTGACAATCTTCTGTATCTGTGACATCCAACTAACAGCTGTAGTTCCGACATTGAATACATAGTCGGTGGTGCTTCTTCGGTGATCAACTTCACCTCCAAAGTCTACATCTACGTACCCTTGTACTTCTACCTCTCCCTTACCAAAGTGCAAACACTTCTGTGTAGTACCTTGTAGATATCTCAGAATCCACTTGACCCCTTCCCAATGAGTTTTTCCTGGATTCGACATAAACCGACTGACCATTCCCACTACATGGCCAATGTCTGGTCTCGTACAGATCATTGTGTACATCAAACTTCCGATAACTGAGATGTAAGGGACCTTAGTTATACTCTCTTATTTTTCTGACTGAGGAGACTGATCATTCGATAGACGAAAATGACTAGCTAAGGGTGTGCTCACTGATTTGGCGTCGCCTATGTCGAATCTCTGCAAAATACGGTTGATGTACTCCGTCTGAGATAACTGCAAGAGACTTTTCTTCTTATCTCTCGTGATTTGTATTCCAATGATCTTTTTCGCTGGACCCAAGTCCTTCATGTCAAACTCCTTTGACAGCTGCTGCTTCAAACTCCTGATATCCTCCATATATGTAACCAACATATCATCAACATACAACAGTAGGATGATATAACTGGACTGATATCTTTTGAAGTAGCAACAGTGATCGGCGTTGCACTTCTGAAAATCTTCCTTGTGCATAAAACCGTCAAACTTTCTATACTACTACCTTGGGGCTTGTTTCAGGCCATACAAGCTCTTCTTGAGTCTGCACACCATGTTCTTCTTTTCTTCTAAGTAACCTTCTGGCTGGTACATGTATATCTCCTCTTCTAGATCTCCATGAAAAAATACTGTCTTCACGTCTAACTGCTCGAGATTAAGATTTTCAATAGCTACAATACTCATCAGAGTCCTGATACTATTGAGCTTCACTACTGGAGCAAAAATATCAGTGTAGTCAATTCCTTTCTTCTGCTAGAATCATTTGACAACTAGCCGAGCTTTATATCTTCTGGAGCCGTTCTGTTCCTCTTTCACCCGTACACCTATTTGTTGTGGAGTGTCTTCTTACTCGTGGACAACTCAGCTAGTTCCCACGTCTGGTTTGAGATGAGAGACTTCATCTCATCTTTTATGGCAAGCTCCCACTTGCTCGCATCTTCACCGTGACAAGCTTCATCATAGCTTTCAGGCTCCCCTCTATCTGTTAGCAATAGATAGTTCATGTATCTCTTGTTGGACACAAGAGGCCATGAAGATCTTCTCAATATCGGAGCTGGTGCGTCGGGCTCCTGCGTACCATCCTGTCCAACAGGCTCTTCTGGCTGAGGACCTTTTGTATTGGGTTCTTCCGAGAGGTTACTCGGGACATCATCTACATCTACAAATGTTGACTCACTCTCTGAGTCATCTGTCTTGTGCATGTCCTTGTACATCACCTTCTCGTTGAATATCACATCTCTGCTCCTGATCACCTTCTTATTTTTGTTGTACCAAATACGGTAGCTGAACTCATCTTCACCATACCCGATGAATGTGCATTTCTTGGACTTGGGATCAAGCTTATTCTTGTATTGATCACTAATATGCACATAAGCTACACAACCGAAAACTTTAAGATGTGAGAGGCTTACCTCCTTTCCGTACCATACCTCCTCTGGTATTCTGTGCTCTAATGGAACCGATGGACCTCGGTTGATCAAGTTGTTGTGTTGACCGCTTCTGCCCAGAACTGTTTCGGTAGGCCTGACTGTATCCGAATGCTTCTGGCTCTTTCTGTCAACGTTCGGTTCATTCGCTCAGCTACACCATTTTGCTGAGGCGTGCCGGGCATGGTTCTCTCCATTCTGATCCCGTGCTCATAGCAGAACTTTTTGAATTCGGTGTCTTCATACTCACCGTCATTGTCGGTCCTAAGCTTCTTTTTTCTCAGACCGGTCTCATTCTCGATCAAAACTTTCCATCTCCTGAAAGCTTCAAATACTTCTGACTTATGCTTCAGAAAGTAGACTCACACTTTTCGAGAGTGATCATCGATAAAAGTCACGAATTAATGTTTACCACCAATAGACGCGGTGGTGGTTGGTCCCTAAACATCTGAGTGAACAAGCTCTAGCTTCTCTTTTCTGGGGGTTCTGCCACTTGTCTGAAAGCTAACTCTTTTCTGCTTTCCAAGTATGCATTCTTCATACATATCTAAATCAACTGATTCTAGAGCTGGGAGTTTTCTCTTTGTGTGCATGATTTTCATCCCCTTCTCACTCATATGACCGAGTCTCTGGTGTCACAGCTTTGAAGTCTCATTGCCTATTGTAACTGAGATCAAACAACGTGCACCTGTTATCATATACATGGTATTAGTCTTCTTACCTTGAGCAATCATCATTGCGTTCTTTGAGATCTTCCAATCTTTTCTATGGAAGGTCGTGGTATATCCTTCGTCAGCCAACTGACCTACGGATATTAAGTTTTTTCTCAGGTCGGGAATATATCTGACATCTTTCAGCTCCCATACTGACCCGTTCAACTTAATTTTCACCACATCTTTACCCATAATAGCACACGGTTGATCATCATCAAGGTATACGTATCCAAGATTTTCAGGAACATACTTCTCGAAGAATTTTTTCTGAGAAGTGGTATGGAACGACGCTTCTGAATCTAACATCCAAGATTCCTCCTTACTCTTCAAAGAGCATATTAATGTGTCGTCTCCTCCTGAGATGGAAGTGACATTCACCTCTGCCTTCGCCTCCTTCTGTGTACTCTTGCACTGATTCTTGTAATGCCCGGTCTTTCCATAATTCTAACACTCAATAGCCTTCGAGTTGTTGTTTGGATTCCTTGACTTGGATCTCCTGTCCTTTGATCTACCTCTATAGTTTGATTTACCTTGTCCGTTCCCTCTGGTTGAATTTCTACCTCTTGACGTTGTATGCAATACTGAAGAGGTTGTAGTTTCACCCGACTCTCTCCGTCGGATCTCCTCACTGAGAACCAAATTACGAACGTTGTCGAACTTCAACTTGTTGCTTCCCGATGAGCTACTCACAGCTGTGACTGTAGCGTTCCAACTCTCTAGTAGGGAGGATAAAAGTATTAACGCCCGAACTTCCTCATCAAAACTCAATTTCAACTGAACTCAATTGGGTTGTGACTGTGTTGAGTTCATTGAGGTGTTGTGCCACTGACGCGCCTTCCACCATTCTCAGATTGAATAACCGCCGCATCAAATGAACTTTGTTCGTGGCTGATGGCTTCTCATATATATTTGAGAGTGCTGTCATAAGACCCGCCGTGGTCTTCTCCTTCGTAATATTAAACACAACATTACGAGTCAACGTCAATCTGATAACTCCGAGAGCTTGTCTGTCTAGAAGGATCCACTCATCTTCCTTCATCGACTCCGGTTTCTTCCCCGATAGTGGTTGATACAGATTTTTCTGATACAGATAATTCTCTATCTGTATTTTTCAGAATCCGAAATCTGTTCCATCAAACTTCTCAAGTCTTATTTTTCTTCATCTGTGGCCATGGCTCCCACTTGAATCTGACTTCCTCTAGATCGTTTCACGTTCTGATACCAGTTGTTGGGAATTTACGCCGAAACCCCTAAGACAACAGAAATATAGTATAGAAAAAATACATTAATATTTAACGAGGTTCGGCAATTGCCTACGTCCTCAGGAGCCACACAATTAATTTCTTATTAACCAACAAGAAATTACAAAGCAAGAACAAATCTCAAACTTGAGATCTCTCAATAAATACTGATTAATACTATAGCTACAGTATTAATTTCTCTCTCTCTCTCTCAAATACCCCTATTTAAATATTTCTTAAATAGAGAATATTCCCCCACAATAAATTCCCTTCAACAATCTGAGAGCTGGAAAAAAAAATCACGAGAGGAGAAGAAGAAACAACGCCGTTGCGTTTTTTTTTTGAGTCTGCCGCCAGGAGAAATCGCGAGAGGAGAGAGGGGGAGGAGCGACGCGAAGGGGGCTAGGGTTTCGGGTTCCCTTTTATAGGGGAACTCGATGACAGGCTGGCGACAGGCTGTCGCCAACCATGCGCGCGCTCAACCTCGCCTGCGGGCGCTCTGCCGAGCTCGCCTGGATCTTGCGTCGACCTCGCTTGCAAGTCTCTCGTTCGAGCTCGCCTGCGGAAGTTCTCTAGCTCGCCTGAGAGGGGTCGCCTCAACACCGAGCTTGCTTGATGGTCATGAGCTCGCCTACAACTGTGTCGAGAAAAAAGTACCCTGCCCCAGGTTAGATTTTGGGGTCTAGCTATGTATGAAAGACCTGCTGCATGCATAAAAGCTAGCCATTTAACTGCTTTTTTTCCCCTAGGGAGCTTCTTCGTATCAGATTTATTTATTATTATAATTATTATTTTGATTTCAGCTTTTTCTTTGCTGATTGCTTTTTTTCTTTGAGCTCATCCAGGCACATCCCTCGGTGGATTTCTCATTCTTATTGCAGTGTCCCTCGCATTTCTCTACATATTAAGGCGATCCAAAATCGAGATAGAAACACATTTGAAGGTAGAAAAATTCCTCACATCATACAAGACAACAAATCCTACTCGATACACATATTCTGAAATAAAAAAAATAACTAAAAAGTTCAAGCACAAATTAGGCCGAGGTGGCTTTGGTAGTGTTTACAAGGGAGAGCTCCCCAATAAAATTCCCGTTGCAGTCAAGGTGCTAGAGAAATCTAAAGGCGATGCAGAAGAATTCATAAATGAAGTAGCTATAATGGGAAGAATTCACCATGTCAATATCATTCGCCTCTTGGGATTTTGCTCAGAAGGTACCAACAACGCTCTTATATATGAGTTCATGCCGAACGAATCACTTGAGAAGTTCATCTTTTTTAGAGAATCCAAGAGCTCTAACCGGTCATTTAGCATGGAAAAGATTCAAGACATTGCAATTTGCATTGCTCGAGGTATTGAGTATTTGCATCAAGGGTGTGATCAGCGTATCCTACACTTTGACATCAAGCCTCACAATATCATGTTGGATCATAACTTCAACCCTAAAATCACCGATTTCGGTCTCGCAAAGCTCTGCTCAAGAGATCAAAGCATTGTAACTATGACCGGTGCTAGAGGTACAATGGGCTATATTGCACCCGAGCTCTACTCTCGAAACTTTGGAACTGTGTCATATAAATCAGATGTTTATAGTTTTGGGATGTTATTGCTTGAAATGGTGAGTGGTAAGAGAAATGTTGATCCCGAATTTGAAAATCAGCGAGAGGTTTATTTTCCAGAATGGGTTTATGATCGTTTGGTTTGCGACGAAGATTTAGGCCTGGCGACCGAGGGGAATGATGGAGACCTTTTGAAGAAGCTTGGCATTGTGGCGCTTTGGTGTATACAGTGGAGTCCTATGGATCGCCCTACAATGTCGAGGGTAGTTCAGATGCTTATCGGGAGCTTGGAGAGCTTGGAAATCCCGCCGAAGCCTTTTGTTTCTTTGCCTGATCAAGAAGAAGATGATGATGTAGTAGATGTAGATGTTGTAGTAGATGTATAGTGTAATCTCAACTGAGAATGTTGTGACTTAATGTATAGTCTTTATATGTACTTTTTTTTCTTGTTCCTTGTATGATTTTACTTTCATAGGGTTTGTACACCCAAGGCACGCAATCATGTAAAAGTGCTACGCTGAAGTAAGAATGGTGTTGGTTGTTTTATATCATGGGTGTTGCTACAGGGACCTAAATATGAGATCCAAGACATGAGACATATAAGGTGTCACCATCCAGTTGTATGATGCACTATTTATGAACAGTGCATCATGCAATCGGATGGTGACACCTCACTTGTCCCATGGTCCCCTATTTGGATCCTCGAGGCATTAATGTTATATTATATACCCCCATCTTTGTGATGTATGTTGTGAATTAATCTTTTGGGCTAAACGTTTAATGAGCTTCAAAAGAGTGCCTTTTTTGTTGTGGCTGCATGCGGTTACTGCTTCTGCGTTCTCAAATCCCTGCTTAATTAATAAGATTTGCCTTTTATGGACCTATACACGAATAAAGTTAAACGACAATAACAACAACAAAGTTTTTATTTTAATTAATCTTTTCTAAACAGTTTTAAATCGTATTCTTTTTTCCAGTTTTGGTAAAGGGTATCTCATATACATCCTAACTATTATCACATTTTTTTAATTAATTTTTTTATCAGCCACAGCTCTCTTATGGTCTGTCTCTAGTTTATTAAAAGACTTTTTTGCTTAGACAAATCCGAGTTGTAAGTCGTGATATAAATCTTATAGCATGATTAACATAATTTAACACTCGTTTACATACTAGAACGAGATTGAATAAAATTGTACATACCTTTTTCCATTGTTGAATGCAATGAACACCGAAATTACCGATAATTGTTCTTCCTTGTCCACTCCACAACACAAAACCGAATTAATGGATTATTATTATCATAGGGCTTGATTCAAAAAATCCATCATTGTATGTGGACAAGTGACTCTCTTTGTAGAACTCCAACCATCAAGGAGTTCATAACTACCCAATGTAGTCATGTCTTAAAATTACTAAAATAGTTAAATTTTAAAATTCAAATTCAAATTGCTATTAATGTCACATAATAGAATATGAAGAGTTAGAGTCAAATATTCCAACAAGTCGATGAACCATTCTTTTTTCCTTCTATATATGTATCTTGCTGTTGGCCCCGTGGCGTGACTAAAGCAAGCGTACGCGGTATTTGAAGTGAACTATAACAAACCTCCAAAAACATCAATCTTCTCAACAGTCAAAAGTCGAAAACACACAAAAGATATAGTTTACTCAAAAAACATACATAAAGTTGAAATCAAGAATAAGAAGATTAGCAAGTCAATGAACCATGCGCATAATTTTAATCATCCTCTCTTCACGCAAAGTCCAAGCTTTGCTGTTACGCACAATACAATGTCCAAAAAAGCTAGTCAAATCACTAGGTTTTAGATGTTTTGGAGCTTATGCTATAGTTGGAGCTCATATAGTGATTTATTAGCTTCATTTTTACTAATTAATATGATCTAATTTAGCGTGTCTCTTAGAACCATAGTCTCTGATCGAATTGGTTTGAATGAGTACGAACAAAAGAATATTTACTTTGCTTAAATTGGTAACAAAATACGCTAACACATATAATCAACAAAGTTGTCAAATTAATTATGCATGTTTTTTAGTTTTATCCTAAACCAAAATGCCTAAATCATATTAATTTTCTAACTTTTCTGACACTGCTGTCACAACATCGTGCTGTTAATTTTGGTCGTATCAATCTACAAACTGCAATCTTGTCAACAGTACTCAATGTTGGGTAAAACCCGTGTCGATGAACCAAACCAATCGCCGATCAAAGAAGGTAAAATCCAATCAAAATCAATGCATAAACTTAAAACACCAATTTTAACGTGGTTTGGCAAATTGCCTACGTCCACGGGGCAAGAAGGGGATGAAGTTTTCACTAATAGAGAAGAAGAGTACAAATTGAGATTACAAATAACTCGAATGAACAAACTAATCTCACCACGAAGCTTTTAATCTCTCCAAATAAACCCTAATCAAATAGCTCAGAAAATACCTCTTTTATGTGCTCCAAATATCCCAAACTCTAGCCTTAAGAAACCCTAGAACGTGTATTGGTATTTATATAAACACCAAAACCCAATAAGAACAGGAAACATAAAACAGGCCCTGACCCGATTGGCGGTCAACCGCCCAAAGCTCGCAGTCGACCGCGAACCTGACCGCGGCGGTCGACCGCGCCAAATCCAGACTCCTACTCTGGCTTGTGCACGTTCGCGGTCGACCGGCCTTGCGCTGGGGTCGACCGTGTAACTCCAAAACAGTTCCCTGTGTCCCAAAAGCCTGTGATCTTCTCCAAAATTCTTCGCGATTTCTTCAATTCTCCACCTCGGTGAAGTTTCTTTCAAAACTGATCAGACACCAATCAAACCAAATGCCTCACTTGTTGCGTCCAGTACGAAGTGAAACGATTCACGACAACGGACTCAATGCACAACAAGTCGAGACCCAAACGGGAGTGCGAACACTCTCCCAAACGTCAGTATCTACTCACCAAATCGGCTGCATCAAAACTGACTGCCTACATATCCTCTTGCCCAAGGAATCAAGCATTCATGTAGTTCATCCAATGGCCTCCAAATGCCCTCAATCCAATAGAAGAGCATGCAACCCTCCTCCATCATCATCAAATCTGCGACTGATAGCACCTCCAATGACCTCAAACTGAAACGATCCAAACACCTCTGTCTGAGGTGAACCAATGGCCATGTCCAAACTACGCATATCAGCTGCACTCAAAATAATCAACGTGTCATCTGCATCTGAAACTGAATGGACCCCATGCTGTGTTACCTCAGCTGAAGTCCTAAATAATACAGAATGACCTAGAGTATGTGGAGTAATATCCACCCAATGTGGAGTAGCATCACCCTCCACCCGCTGCAATATCCAACTGATCTGATCAACACTCTCCACCTACCGAGAGTCCAATGTGACATACCCGCTCAGAACGAAATTAGAAGCTCCCAAATGATAACCAAATGAGCCTCTGAATCCCAAACGCGTAATCGGATCAAATTTCATATTCTCGATGTGACCAAATGCTGGGTAACCAAATATCCGACACCAACCAAAATCTAAAGTAGCTCCACCAGATCCAAAATCTCCAAACGCAGCAGTCGGCAACATATGCATAAGATGATCCAAATATGTCGAAGCCTGAATACTAATCCAATACTCAACAACCAACACTGATCCTCCTCCAGAAAGGAACAACTCACAAAATCTGCCATCTCATATCATCGCCTCAATATCTCCTCTCCAATGAAGTGTCTCCAACTGCCATGAGCTCGACACAAATACATGAAAGGACCCCTACCAAAGCTAGAACTACGGGTTACCTTTCTACCAATACACTTTTTCCAATTGTTACGGACTACTAGGACTTCAAACCAATGGGGCTTGGTTGCAACCCATAAATGCCTAGTACAATCCCCAACTACAGCAACCAAAAAAACGATTATCTCCCAATGACGCCTTCTTAGAAGGCCCCCAAATGCCTGACTAAACACCTCCTAACAAACCCTTCGATCGATGGATAGAAGTACCAAGCTCCACCACGGTCTTCTCGCTTATCCCAATGTGCTCAAAGGACTTCCATTTGCAGGTTAACGCACTCCTCAACAACCTATGCATGACATCACCAATCAAATACCTCAGCGTCAAACAACACCACAGTCTAGCCAAATCCAATGAAGTTGTCAGCGTTCTATCAATCACTGTGCTCCTAAGCAAATAGTACAAGTTACTCATTCTGACGCCCTTCATCACAATCATGGACCTAAATGTAACCTTCAAACGCGTATCCGTCAATGTTACCCTATAACCTACTGCCTCCAAAACTCCAAGTGAAATAATATTTTTCTTTAATTGAGGAACGAACCTTACTTCAACCAACTCCCGAATCACCCCGTCACTCATCTGAATACGAACGATACTGATACCACCAATAGGGCATTTGTGATCATTACCCATGAGCACAACATCCCCTCTTTCTAACTCCTGAAAGTTAGAAAACCAATCTCTCCTAGGAAAAATATGGTATGAGGCACCCGAATCTAACATCCACTCAGTAGAGTTAGCAACACAAACTGATGGACGTGCTGGGCACAAATAGCCCGAAGAATCCGAATCTGAAATATCGTTACTAGCCTTGGCAACATTCACCTCAGAAGCTTTAATCGCTTTCCCCTTATTCTTCCCAGCTCGATCATTCAATTTTGGGCATTCGGCTTTCCAATGTCCATCTTTTTTACAAAAAGCACACTGATTCCTACGAATTCCAAAATGTGCCCCTCTAGACAGTGACATTCTATCTCGGTTTGGACTCTTTGCTCTAGCAACCAATGTCCCCACTACCGGCTCAATAGAAGTCTCATTATCCTTCTTCCTAAGTTGGTAATTAACAAGTACAACGGTGATCTTACTATATGAAAGAGATACATTCCCATTAATAAGAGTAAGAACGAAGGTCTCATATTCCTCGTCGGGCAAGGAACTCAATAATAGCAACACATTGTCCTCATCTTCAATGATGACATCTACATTCGCCAAATCTGCAAGAAGCTTCGTATAGTGGTTCATGTGATCACCAATGGATATCCTCTTCTTCAATTAGAAGTGATGAAGCCTCCTTTTCGCTCTTCGTCAAGTACTTACTCTCTAGGACTTCCTAAATCTTCTTAGCCGAAGTCTCATTCATCACATCATATTTTAGATCTTAAGTGAGATAAGACCTAATCACACCACACGCCGTTCTATTCATTTTTTTTCAAATCTTCTCATCAATGTCGTCCGATTTCCCGTCTAATTCCAACGTATCTTCCAAATTCTGCGCATTGAGTGCATCCAAGACTTCGCATCGCTAAAGTCCAAAGTTGTTAGTGCCATTGAACTTCTCCACGCCAATCTTCATCGAGTGGATATTCAAACTTTGAACAGTCTTCACGCCTAAAGAACCACCCTCAACACCTTTTTTCTCGGCCATAATCCTCAACACACCAACAACCAATACGGAAACAAACGAAGAATAGATCCAAAACTGAGAAAAGAAAAAAGTTTTACCAAAAAAATTCCCACCTTTCTCACCAAC